GTTGATAATTTGCATCTTAATTATGGGTTCAAAATACTCAAACCGCTCATCTATATAATTTCACGTTAATTATCATGTAGTTATTTCATAATTGGTAAATAATGAAACATGGCAGTGTGTTGGGGGAGAGGCTTGGTATTTCATTAGGTATCCAGAGGATCAAGTGTCTTACTCCAAGCGTCTAACCCAACAATTCCTCTTAGAAGTTGAGTGTGTAGGACATTAAAGTTTCCTGAGAGTCACTCAAAAACAGTCATTAGAAGGTCACTCTAGCCCACTTCCTCCCATTTGCACGTCATCCTCGAAAAGTTATCTGGAAGAGCAGGGCTCTCTACTCTCTCTTTGAGAACACTTTTCATTCTGTTGCTCAGAGTGACATAATCCTGGTGATAAATTCCCAAACCTGCTGCTCCAAAGAAAACACACAGAGTAACAAAGACTGAAAGAGCTTCAAGTAGGGAGAAGTCTGTTTTCACAGGTGGATAGGAAAGCCTCAGTAGTAGAAATAAAAACTAGTACAAATACTGATGGAATGCTGGTACCCTCAGTGAGACCACCTCCCACTGGAACAAAGGCAGGGCAACATCCAGCTAGGATATCCCCTCCAGAACACTCCTGTTTCAAAGGTTTTCCTGGTGGGTCAGGAGTAAAGAATATGCCTGCCAATGCAGATGTGGAAGACATGGGTTCGATCCCTGGGTCGGGAAGATCCCCTGGAGAAGGAAACAGCAACCACTCCAGTATTCTTGTCTGGGAAATCCCATGGAGAGTGGAGACTGGCAGGCTACATATAGTCCATAGGGTCACAGAGTCAGATGCAACTGAGTGACTGAACACACACACACACGGTTGTTACCTTATGGTTCCCGTTACCTACCAAGGGTGACCTGAAGTCTCGTTCCAGTCCCAAATATGACTTTCCTGCCACTGCCTGCGTTACACTGTGAGATGCTCCATGACAGAAACCTGCCGCTGGTCTCCATTCTACACTGGTACTCAGAGCTCTCCCCGTGGACAGGCTGCCCAGGCAAGCCCTTGGGGATCGCTTTTCATCCATCTCCCAAACTCTGCAGCGTTATCCCTAGGAGGGTGGTGGGGCTCTGGCCAGATACTACCTGTTGCAGCCCTCTTTGACCTCAACTCATCATGGAGTGCAGGCTAGCTGATGAAGACTGAGAAGTTGTCAAGTTCAACTCCCCAGACACTGGGAATTGAACTCCTTGTCCTTTCCCTTTCTGGGTTTTATGTTAACGAATCTCTCTTGTCAGAATTTGATGAGAAATGGGACTCAGAAAGCAAATGATTAATAACTGTTCTAACTAAAGGTCCCTAAGTCAGGCAGAGAAGAGGGTATGAAGACAGAAAAGGAGAAACGATCAAACTTCTATCCACACAGCCATGTCCACAACACCCATGAGAGTCATTTTCATTGCAAAGGTGCTGATAACAAAACGGTCGCTCTATATTCATGCTTCAGTCCCAAGTGGTATCTTTGTCTGCCAGAATACAGAATTCCCAGTAATGGGGCTACACTCACAATAAGCACCTAGGAGCGCCCCCAGACTATCCCCTCCCATATCTACACATCTCAAAAATGCCTGTGTCCTTAGGACCTTGCTGATATGCCCATGGGACCAGAGGCTTATCAGCAGGGTGTGGGAATGTTCCCGTGCAGTCTGCATTGAGGTCCCCAGCTCTCAGACAGAAGCACTTACGGGGCTGGATGATGAGCTGAGTCCCTTTTCCAAAGATGAGTCTGTTACCTCCTCCTGTATCCACACCCCATGTCAACCCTTTACATAAATCTCTCTGCCAGAGACCCATGCCCTGAACCTTCAGAACTTCTAGCTGCAGCTGCTCCAAAGCCCACAGACACCAGAACAGCTCACAGCCCTGCTGAAGCTGCTGGTCATTTCTTCCCCTCCCTTGTTGCTGTCGTAAAAACTCAAAACACATAATGAGATAAGGGGACTGGAGATGAGGGCTGGGGCTGCCAACACATGGCTACCAACTGCCCCGCTGTCGATTTCTTCATGAGAGCAGAAAAGGTCACAGAAGGTCACAGAACACACGCCTGTCACGTAGGAGAAGATGGGGAGGACAGAGGCCCTTAGCCACAGACATTTAAAGGGGCTATGGTTTGTACATCTGGCATGTAAAACAGGACAATGCAAAAACTGTGCTAGATCAAATAATAGGAAGAGACATAAATGTTTCACTTTCCTCTCAGACTTACTGGGCCTCACTGCTAAACGCGTCCCGGTCCCAAAAGTCAGCCTGCTTTCACTGCCACTCTTCTCACTGTTGTCAGCAGCTTTACAGAAACAGGGCAGACATCTGTCACGAGTGTCAGCTCACCAACCTGTCTGGCTGGCTTTCTCCTGACACCAATCCCAAAGTGCCCTACAAACCAAGCAGTGCGCATCTTCCCTCACACCTCTCCAAGTCACAGGCTCAGGATAAATTTCTCAGCTCAAAACCACAGGCTAAGGTTTCTATCTGACAAGTCTAGACACCCAAACAGCAAGCAGTGCGGTCCCGCAGAGACGCTGACATTAAAAAAAAAATTTTAAGTTCTATTTCAAACCTTAAAAAAATTTAAGCTCTCTTTTAACATCAGTTAATTGGTGTGTTTAATTCTCTCAAAGGCAATGCATGGGAATTATTTGAAAAATTAAAAAATCTACAGTTTATAATAATACTAAGTTTATATGAAACCCCATGGTTACCTTTGGAGGAAACTAGGAAACCATTCAATATTCCCAAACTAGTAACTACAAGGAAAGAACCAAGTGTGTACTCTTGCATTTCTTATAACTGCATGGGAATTCTTAAGTGAATCACATTAACAAAGTGTTTGTGTTGCACTGAAATTTCACTTTTTCTTCCTTAGAAACAAAACCTTCTAAAATAGAGTCTATTTGATTTGTTATGAAACACAGGTTGGGATTAAGGTGCGCGTTTTATACTCACGAGGTTTGACTGTCAAAGTGGTTCCTGAGCCAAAGATCAGTGTGTTTCCAGAATTCACACAGCATCAAACTCCTCTACAAAAACAGCTCGTGGGTCTAAGCATGTAGGGTGGCGTGGGGGTGGGTGATTTGGTCTTGGAAACAGAACTCTTCCTCTCTGCATGTAGGACGTGCTGGGTTTTGGCCAAGAAGCCAAAGATATTGGAGTTATCACAGAAACTTCCAAATTTGAAAAGTTCGATTGTGTATGGAGTTTCCCTTGTGTTTGCTCTTTGCTTCTTGGAGTAGTATAAATGCTATGATTCTTCTCTAGAAGGAACGGATGCTCCAAAGATTCAGTATGTCTTTTCTTTCAGTGCTTTTCTAACCCTCTAGCAGAATTTTCTTTCATCTCATTAATCCTAATCAGACTCCCCTGTTACAAACATTTCTACTCTGCTGTGATGTCCTCCAACTTCAAAACCCATAGCAACCACCAATTAGTAAACATTTCTGGATGCATTGATTGGAAACAAACTCTTTGCAGCTGGCTTCCACATATAGGTTTTGAGTATTTGGGGCTCTGAGTTGGTTTAGAACCACTCTGACCATCCCCTGCTGGGGAAAGCATACTTTTACTGAGTTGCTCTTGGTAGCACAGAGGAGAGTGACATTTTCACTGAGTGAGTTATGTTTTCACATGGGGACAGTCCCCTGAACACTTCTGGCTACTGACCATCACTGGGTCCCCACAGCTCAGCTCTGTCACTGTCTTGCTTTGTAACTCTCAGAGCTCCCTTTCCCTAGATACAGAGCGGAGAGAGAACCACTCCTCTACCTTCTCCAGACAGAGAAGAAAAAGGCTTTGAAGCCTAAAGGTGCTTTATCCAGTCTAGCTGGGAGATGCTTTATAATGTAATTTTCACTACAATAGTCTGAACCATCCAAGTCCTCAATACTCATGCCTTTAATTTCTAATGCAGAAAAAGAGAAAAACATTCCTCTAGGTAACTGAGTGGTTAAGACAGTTGAGAAATCCAGACTTGGACAGGTTCCATATATCTAGTTCTTGCCCTTCCAGTATTTGTGAGGTTGTCTTTTGTTACAAAGTCTACATGTTCAGATTTTCCACAGCTTTAAATTTTAGATGCAAGAAATTTTTTTGCCCCATGCTTTTTGTATTACTGTACTCTGGGTATATATATCCAGGATTTATCTCGTTCCTTCTATCTCTTTCTCATTTATCAACTATCAACTATCTATCTATCATCTCAGACATAGTTTTTTTTTTTCCCAGTTAATTCTGTGCCTTATCCATGCTGTAACTTACTAAATGCTCAAGAATTGGTGATGGACAGGAAAGCCTGGCCTGCTGCAGTCCATGGGGTGGCAAAGAGTCAGGCACAACTGAGCAACTGAACTGTACTAAACTGAGATGTGCTGTCACACTGATAAACTCCACTGGGGGACCGCCCCCCTCCAAGTTTTCCAAGTTTAGCCTTCCACTTGGGACCAGTGCTCAGTGTCCCATTGTTCTGCCCTACCTAAGGCATCAGTTCTTAGCACCTTCCCAAATACCTTCACCATCTGCAAAGAGAAACACATTGGACTAACTTTGAAAAATTATACTCTCCAGGGTTCTGTCTGCCTGCTTCTCTGGGTTTCATGGTTTGCTTGTCATTTTGATAGTCTACATTTCAACCATTTCTTCCAAATGACTGCAGTACTCAAAGTTCAAATTACCATACAAGATAAAAGTGGAGATGCAGTTATTCTGTCTGAATTCTCTTCACATGTCACATTAGCACATGATGGCAGCAGCAAAAACAGAATTGTGAATTGTATTTTCAGCTTTGAATTAAATATTCAAGACTGGACTTCCCCCAGAGAACTAAGATATTTGGCTGACACCCATCCCTACCAGTTGTGAGAAAGGACAGGTGGAAATTCTTCTAAGCCTGCTCTATCTAGTGTGACCTCCAGAATCTCACATAGGTGACCTAAAAATTAAAGAATGGCTGATTTCCTGACCAAGAATGAAATACTTACTGGCTGTGATGGTGAGTCTAGTTCCTGTTCCAAAGTATAATTGATTGGTTTGGTAGTTAGACACACAGTGTTCTAAGTCATTACAAAAACCAAGGCTCCAAGCTCTCCAAACCCTACTGTGCAGCCCCCATTTCTTCTGAACCTCCTTCTCCCAACACTTCACCATCAAAGCTGTCAGTGACCCCTTCATACCATTTCCTGCTGGACCAGCTGAGAGAAAGTGTTGAAAAGGCTATAATTAGGAGAGGCTTGACATGTGAGAACTGTTTTGATTTTTCTGCCAAATTTTCTTCACAGAGAGGACTAGACATCCTCTTTCTCTCTCCAGGTGCCATCAGCGAATCCCTCAGGTCTAAACATAGGATGAGTCTGGACAGCCTGCCATCTTTCTCATCCTTTCGTACCATTCCATGTTTCAGTTTTCTCTGAAGTCGCCTCTTTTCCCTCCTTTAGCCTTCTGGGCCATTTTTTTTTTGTTGAAACTTGCCCCCCAGTCTCTGCTCCTGTGGCCTGTGCCATGAGAGGCCGTGCTTCTCTGGTCAGTGCAAGTGTGAGGGGCCAGCTGGTGGGGGTGGCCTGGCTGCCGATGACACCATTTGTCCCCCTCCTCCCAGGGGTTGCCAGGTGAGGATTTATGTTCCCAAGCATGAATCACCCTTGCGGGTGAAGGGGGAGGGACTCTGCTCTGTTCCAGATAAAATTCTATCTAGTTTAGAGAATTAGGACAGGGAAGCCTGGCTTGCAGCAGTCCATGGGGTCGCAAAGAGTCGGACAGGACTGAGCAACTGCACTGAACTGAGTTTAGAGAAACAGAGTAGCAGAATCTTGTGCTTTCTTTCTGGAATTTAAAGGGTTTGCTCAACACAATGGGGATGGAAAATTTTCTTTGACTTACTTGGAATGACCGTCAAACTTGTCCCTCTCCCAAAATAGAGTTGTCGGCTGTTGCTGTACCACTGTGACAGGAAGCTCAACAAAAACCAGGCAGAAGACAGAGCTGGTGCAGACACCTGGAGGCCCACCCGACAGACAGACAGACAGACAGACAGACAATCTCTTGTCCTGTGCAGGCTCAGGGGCCAGGGCATTAGTGGACAGGAGCTTCAGGGCTTAGAGCAGCTATGACCAACATGATTCTGAAGCTCATTCTCACTAGGTCTCTTTATTACATATTTTAACTCTGGGAAGGATTTTATTTCTTTGTGAAATTTTTGGAACAATTCCTTTTCTTGGGCTTAATGCAGAATGAGGCTCTGATCACTTGCTCCTATCCAACCTACCTCACTTCCCTAACACCCTATTACAGTATCCATTGTTCACCCACCTGATCTTGTACCCCATGAGCAAGGGGAGGGTGGAGTGAGGAGAACACAGGTTAGTGACTTGTTTTTCAAATTGCCATGTTCAGGTCCAAGCTCTCTATGATAACTTTTAGGCACTAAACCCATATCTGCCATTCTTTGGCCTCCGTTTCTGATCAGTTAATACATCTTGATTCCCTTAGCTTTGTGTTTTTAACCACCATGCCACCAGCATAGCCATCTGAGCCCCATGCCTATGGTAATTATCCCCGCCACCCTCCACAGGCAGAGTCACAGGCAAACTTACTTGGAATGACTGATAAGCTTGTCCCTTGCCCAAACATCAACTTGTAGGAGTTGTCACACAGCCATCGAGCACTTTGCAATAACTGACAGGTGACTCTGTGATCTCAGACCCCAGTCTTTCTTGATGCCACTTCAAAAGGCATCTCAGGTAACTTCAGATCTGAGAGTATGGAGCCACAGTTAGGTCAGATTCTTTGGGGGATGGTAGGAAACTTGCTAGAAACACGTGCTTCTTCACCTTGGGGTCATTGCAACTTCTGAGATGCCGATGATTTTAAAAACATCAGTGAGTTCCCTTGTCGTCTTCTCCCTTCTCTGTTGTCACCCATCCACACCATGTCCCAATCTGCATCTCATTTCCATCTCCAAGCCCTTGTTTGGTGACACTCGGTCCTCAGGCACCATTGATCTGCCTTCTCTGAGACAGCATATATTCACAGGCTGCCATGATTAAAGGACTGGAAATGCCAGCCTCTCAGAAGCTGAGATCTGGGCCCCTCAACCTTGATCGCTGGTCAATATGTTGTCCTCATTTGTCTGGCTAATGAAGAGCTGACCTTTCTAAGTGGATGCTTTTTTGCTGAAATGACAACTGCCAAAGAGCTAACAACAAAAGCAGAGCTCTGAAGGCAGTGTTGCCCTTTCAGACCCCTTTGGCATATTTCAGTCAAAGGGTTCCCAGGCTCAAATGTCATCCTCTCGGTTTCAGCCCCCACAATACTAGGCTTGGAGAAATTCAACAAAAATTGGGCAATATTGGTCCAACCTGCCCCCTGTTCGGTAGACCCAGGCTCCTCTTGGAGGCATCCTGCACATTCAAGATGGTCGTAACAAGCCAAGATTCAGCTTCACAGCGGAACTTCTAGTGCCACACCCACCTGGTGTGCATTGGCGCTGCCCCTCAGTAGAGCAGATAGAGGCCACGATATCGGAAAACCCCATCCCTCCATCCCCACTCCCCTCTCCATCACACAGAGTAGGGACCATGCTGTCTGCCTGATCAACGATGCCTGCACAAAGACACAGACCTAGATTCTCGTCCCTTTAGCATCAGAAGACTTTGCCCTCAGTGGAAAGCCTGGGAAAACAGAGTGCCTACAACACAGTCAGAGTGATGTCACCCTTCTCTGTGACACCCTCCTCCCCATCTCAGTCTTATCGTGCTGCTGTTAAAGATATATTCCTACATTTTAATATTCTAACATTTCCCCCTTCCTATAGCTCATTCCTTCCATTTACATTTCTGAGCACCCACGGGACTCCAGCCTCCGTGATCTATTTCCACTGGACTCCATTAGCATCCTTGCAAGAAAGGGACAAAAGTCCTAAAATGCAAGAATACCTGGGGGACACTGTGAGTATGGGTCTTTCTGGCTTCTTGGCTTCACGGTTAGTCAAGTTCTTTCTTTTTCTAACTCAGAGCTGCTGTGCTACTCCCTGCAGTGGAGAGTTTTACAACGACTGACAGAAGGAACTTTATGAATCTTAAAAAAACAGAGTTTCTCACTCTTCCCAGTGGGGAGCAGCAGCAAACACACCAAAGCCAAATCTTCCTATCTGCTCTAATTATCAGCAAGGATACAAGTCACCACGAGGAGAAAGGTATTAAGCCTTGTATCTGAAACTCTTTGGAATTAATTGTAATCCCTTGCTGGTGGTTTCAGTGATAGGAAATGTGGCTATGTGTGTTTTTCCACCCCTTTCCCCCCCTTCTCCTCTCTTTTTGTAGTTTTGCATCTAGAGAAGCCAGAGGAGACATGCAGGAAACATAGAGGGATTTGAAATAAGGCTTTAGATTTCTGTTCAGTTTTCATTTTTTCCTTCTCTGCTTTCATTTGAAACTCATTCTGCACTGAATGCCACAGACTTATTCAATCTCTGCTCTCGATTATCCCTCTCCGCTGTAGATGATACCAGCGAAAATGGCCTCGGCTGCACCAAGAAGAATTTAAGGTTGATATAAGGAAGAACTTTCTGATGAGGAATGGTACTGACAGTTAGAATGGGTTACTCAGGGGAGGTGATTGGAAAAGGGACACCCTCACTCCCAAATTTGGGCATCATCTCTAGAGAAGGCTCTGAAAGCAGCAGACTCTTTTCTATCTTTCCAAGGTCAAGGTCAGCTTTACTCCACGGCAGTGGGATAGACCCAGAGTCTCAAAGGGTTAGACCCAAAGTCTCAAGGTCCAAAATGGAATCTATGAATGCTGAGATTAAAGAAGAGACAGGACCCTGGAGGCTACTGGTCAACATCAAGCAAGATCTGGTTTCTAGGCAACACACATTTCTGTCAAAACTAATACCAGGGCTGAAATCCCAGAATTTCCAGTATGTTTCTGTGTCCTTTTACACTTACTTGGATGGACAGTCAAAGTGGTTCCTTGTCCAAATATCAGCTTTCCATAGGTACCACCAGTATTAACACTGCAGTGGAAGCCTTTACAAGAACCCCGGGGGCACCTCCAAGGCTCACAGACAACTTCCTCTTTAACTCCAGGGAGAAGAGACTCACCCAAAGGGGTCTGAATCTGTGAGGCTGAGATTCTTCCCACCTAAGATCAGAGAACCATTTGCTTGTCTGGTCCTGGGACGATGACCTCCTCCCTCCCTCCCACCCCCTGGTGGGGGTGGGGTGGGGGGGCTGTGTTTTGTCTCTGTCCATTTCCTCTGGTTTCCATCCTGAGGCTTACTGATTTCTCCTGTTCAGCATTTCTCTTTCTAAAGGTCTCATTTCCATTTTACAGCATCATTTTCAGGACAATTTCTCTGATCAGTTTTCAAGACATGTCCTCCCCTCCCTTCGAGGTGTCACACATTTCTGATGACAATGAATTGATTACAAGCAGACAGGAGGAGAGTGTTCAGCTTTCTGGAGGCTGACTAGAATTTGATGAGGTTTAGGCTCCAGCCTCAGGAAACACTATCTCCTGAGTTTCCCTTCATGCCCCAGCATAAGGAATGAAAATGATGGGCACATTTGACTGAACTTCCAGTCGGTTTTAAACCTGAATTACTCATTACTGAGAGCAGTATCTCACAGAAAGTTTACAACTGACCTTTGTTATGTGATCAATCATCCTGGGGACTCTTGGATTTAGGAAAAAAAGACCTTTGTCCTGGGAAACCCACAATCACAGACAAACTGGGACAACTGGTCACCCTACAGGCTCATCTGAGGTGTCCTGACCTCAGAGCAACCCAGCAGCCATAATGGGAGAGTTAGTTGAGGCCTCTCTTAGGGTTGCTTGGAGTTTACTTGGAGTTACTCTGTGTTTACTTGGAGTTGCTGTAAATGGCATCCTTTGATCAAACACAGCTTCCACTGCTGACAGTCACAACCATAGGAAGCCCTGGGGTCTCCTTGGCCCCAGGCTGTGTCTGGTGGATGCCACAGACCATGTGAGGAGCCAAATTCAGGCAACCTTATTATTTGGCACATT